ATGGTAAAATATAATTATTGTGTTTAAAACAAATATTGATTTCTAACGAGAAAATTGTTTGGTAATAATAAAAAAAAAATTATTAAGAACGTGGTACGCCAATTTTCAGTTTTAATATACGTAGTGGCATGCTTGGGAAATCAAGTGAAATTAAGAATTCTGTTGAATAATTGACAAGTTCGTCAGGATTCATGACAGTATCAATGGACATGTAAGTTATGGCTTCGCCTGTTATTTTATTTTTATAATGAAATTGACGTCATTTGCATCGATGTTCTAAGCTGCAAATTTTCTGAGACATCACAAAATGACTGGCAGATGCATGATGTTGTAATTGAATACGCATATTCGTTTGTAATGTAATCTTCTTAATATGTCACCAAAGAACTGAAGATTTTATACACACATTGAGTCCATCAGCAGGTGTTCAGCGTGAGACTGGTAGAGTTTGCCGAAAATTGCCAGACAGTATAATAAGTGCGCCACCAAAGATCTGAGTGTTTTCCTCAACTTCTTCATTGCTTGATCTAGCGCTTCAAATGACCTTTTGAGTGTCATAGTAACTTCATCCCATATGATGATTTGTTACTCTTATGGAATTGAGCCTATTCTAGAATTGTATTTGATACTGCATATAAAAGTATCCGTGGTTTGCATGTTCAATGGCAATTTAAGTACCGAACGAACCATTCGACCGCTGTCTAGAAGAGTTGCCACAATTTTAGAAGACGCAAATGCCAATGCCATTTTATTTTGTAAATTAATAGTTGCTAGAATAAGTAAAATAAGAAATGGTTTTTATCCTACCTGGTGCATCTAGAAACTACAACCCATTGTGTTGATTTACAATCGTTTGAATTATCGTGTCATATATGATGCACTGTTCTGGAAGTAATTTAGGAAAATTCGTTTTAACAATTGGATCCAAATTATAAACATCGAATTCAATTTCGCGTTGCAAAATTCTGATCGAAAGCGTCATTTGCAGGCCGATTTGGTGCCACATATCCAATTGAGTCAATCTCTTTTGAACGACTGCTAAATCTATGTGTTTGATCAATAGCAATGCTTTACCACACACGTTTAGTCTGAATTCCATCTCTGGATTATGATGAATAATGTTTGTATTTACTGTGGATGAGCAGTATTTAATCAACTAGCAAGTGATGTGTCCCGATAAGCATCGTTCTCAAGAAGATTCAATTTTTGGCAAGCTTGTCGGAAAGTGGCACATATTTTATCGTTAACAGTTATTACTTGTTAATATGAGGTCGATCCATGCACGTTGACTAACAGTAGGTAGAAGCATTTTTGGACATTTGGATGAACGGTGCACAAACGTCCTAAAGTGGCAGATGAATAAATATTCCATCATCCTTCAACCATTTTGCCTTGCTTACGACGTTAAAATTTTTTAACAGATGCATTCTATGTATAATATCCTGTCACTTCTGTATAAAGTAATGTTCACACAGATCTTGTGCACACAATGAGAAGAACGCAGTTAAAGTTAATGCTGGTAATGTGGCTCTTTTACATACCTTTGCCACTGTAAAATATACATAGTGATGTACTGATACAGTGGCCGAAAAAGAAAAGAGAAAAAAAGAGAAAAACAGTAGTACCATGTCAGAAACCTTCGCCAATGTCCACACAACATATTCTAAAAGTCTCATCCCAATGGGTCAAGTAGCTTTGAAATGCATACGGAATATACATACACATCGTCATTGATTTATATACGTATGTATGTAGTGAAAGTGACTTATGCGGACCTTACGTGCTTTTAGGTTATATACTAATACCATGGTGAAGTTATGCGAACGTCTGCATAATTCCTATTTTGTCTTCATAATAACCTTTCCGTAAAAAAATTGTCAGCATAAGTCACCATTCATACACATATATTTAAGATTCTTTGCCCCCTCTCGCGCTTTGCATGCCAACCCCACGATTTTTCAGTTTGCTTTTTGAACTTAAAAAATAAAAAAATCTATGCTAAGTAGTTAAAGAGTCAAAACAGAAGTTGTGTAAGGGGTATCCTTGGTTTTAGGGGGGTAAAATTCCCTCAATTTTTCTTTTCATAACGTTAATGTATGTCTTGGAGCTTAAACTAAAGAGTCCTTGAAGTTGTAGGTTCCAAATATTTTTTGGATTCTGATGGAGCCCAAAAACATTGTTTTTCACGTTTTAACCTTTTTCTCACGTTTTGATTATATAATTATTCTGAAAAAAATCGAGAGTATACAGTTTGACATAATTTTTGATTGAAATCTTTTAAAAATTATAGGAGTTGAACATAATCTCAAAAAAAAAATGTCTTTGAAATGATGTTTTCGCTAGGTTCTATTATACCTGCACAAAATTTTTATTGACCATCTTGTAAAGCGTCCAAAATTCAGTTAGACACATATTTTTAAAAATTTTTTTCAGTGGTTTGCCATGTTCAAAAATGCAAAAAACTGTTATTTGTACTCCAAGGGACCTTCAACAAATCACTTTCTAACGTCTTACTATTTTTCCGACGTTCTAATGATTAACAAAATCTAAAAAAATTCATTAGTATACAATTTTTGATTATTTTTCAGCTGAATTTTTTTTTTTTTCAAGATTGGAATTCAACATAACCTCAAAACAATAATTTAGACCTTAACTTTGGCCAGGTCTTACATTACCTGCATACATTTTTTATTCCCCATCTTGTAGAGCGTCCAAAAATTAGTCGAAAACGTATTTTTCAAGATTTTTTTTCAGTGGTGCGCCATGTTAAAAAATGCAAAAAACTGTTACTTTGACTCTAAAGGACCTTAAACACAACACTTTCTCAGGTCTTATTCTTTTTTTGCGTTCTAATTCAAAAATAAATCTAAACTTGTTAGTATACAGTCTTACGTTACTTTTAAATAGAACGTTTCTCAAAATTGTTGGAGTTGAACATAACCTCGAAGAAAATTATTTTGACTTTAAAATGCTATTTTGGCCAGGTTCTATTATGCCTACATATAGTTTTATTCTGACATCTTAAAGAGTGTCAATCAATGAGTCGAAAGCGTGCATTTTGAAATATCTTTCAAAATTTATTTAATCAGATGGCTAGGACAGCTTCGATTCCATTTGGGAATGAACAAACGTTTTTTCGTAAAAACTTGATAACAAGCCTACAAGGGCCGATCGATAATGTTGTTTCACTCTCCACATATATCACAGTATGCTTTTAAAAATACCATTCTCTTAAAAGGCATGAAGAAACGTTCAATCTTTTCACCTTCAGATTCATCCGTTGGAAAATACATCGAGTGTTCACTTGATTCCTGGTTTGATGAAGTTTGGTTAGATTTTTGTGAAAACTGAGTCGATTTTTGTAATGATTGTTCATTAGATGCTCTTATCTCGTCTTGATCAATCGAATCTTCAGATAAGGCTTGTAATGGTTCCATATCATCACCTTGTAACTCGGTTGAAATTGTCTGTTCTGGGACAGTCTCTGAGTTTCGATCAGTGTATTCTGTTGTAAGATTTTAACAAAGTTGACTCTCTTCATACCTTAGTTTCGAGAAACATTTTTGACAAAAAGTGTCATTTAGTTGGATATAATAGTTATAAGTCTTGAAAAATCCTTCAGCCTGTTTCTTTGTTTAAACTGTTTTCAAATACTTGTTTTTTTTCTTACGCAAGAAGACTTGACACTTACAACATTTAGTATTATTCTGTTGACGTATTTTGTTTGGAGGCTCTTTATTTGCGAAACTCATTTTATCTCCTGTAAATAATGTGTTTATGAGTATTTGTTAGCACTATATGTAAAAATGACGCTTTGGAATTTAAGAAAGTATTTAAGCTTCATATTGGTTTTTTTGTATAATATTTTAATAATAACAAAAGGTTATTAATATTTCATAAGAACAATAAAAAGTTAGGTAGTTTCAAAAAACAATGAGCAATTATTTATAAAATAAAACGTTTTTTTTTCTTAAGTTTTTATTTTGGGTAACATGTAAAATATCTGTACGGTAATAGTCCTTATTCGTGAAACACTCTCCAATATTAAAACTCAGAAATGTACCATAAGAGCTTGAATAAAGTGAATTAAATATACTTACCACGGTTGTAAATAAATGATTAAAAAATGAAAAACAAATTTTCTAACAATCACTGCTGGATTAAAAGTAAAATTCAAAAAAGCAGTAACTCGAAAGGAAAGCTCTTTTGCACAACGCTGACAGTATCTTAGGTAGCAGAGAAGTAAATATGGTACAGGCAGTACCCCACCCTCTGCGCTCGCTTGTTTGCCAGAGCACCACTATTAAGCTGGGCACTGACTGTCAGGCTGTCTAGGTCAAACTGCTCAATTTTTTCACGATAAGTCTTAACGAAATGATGTACATTTATTCACAAAATTATTATTTCAAGTATGAATTAAATTCGAAAATATTTTATTGAATTTAAAATAAATTGTAATTGAAAATTTTATAAAAAATTTTATAATAGGGACTCTTACTTTACATAGATATAAATATCTATTTTGTAAGATATACTTTATTTTACAAACTTTATAACACAAACTTTATATTTTAAATACAACTTTATTCCTTAAAAGTTGGGAGAAGCAGTGGTGTTGAAAAAAGAAAAAAAAAGAAAAAACGCCTAAAGATGAAATGCTTTGTGGTCTCAATAAGTATTATATTAAAAATAACATTTATAACATTATTTGTATTTGATAAATAGCTTTAAAAAAATTCACATATACATACATACGCATGCATGTATTCACCTACACAAACACTACTATTAATAGAATGATTGCAGATAATAACTAAATACAGTCACTTTTTTCTTAACTTACGAATGGGTATCCTCCCTTAATACTTCGGTAAGTTGTTTATGAAAGAATCACATACATATCAATAAATAAGTATCACTCACAACATTACAAATTTTTAACTGTTCCATAGAAAATAGTTATACATTTTATTTTATTAGTAATATTCTAAGAGTTGTACCAAAAAAATTATTCTCTATCGATCAAATTTATGAATGCTTATGATTTCTCATGCTGCTAATTCACTTGTTTTCTGCCGTGCAAATCATTTTCTCAAGGGCTTGAATATGTTTCAACTAAGCAACTGCTCTCAAAGTCTTTCCCTTAATGAACTTTACATGCAAAGGTTTGATGTTTGATGTTCCATTTGTCCTACTGAAAAATAAAATAATTTTATGATTATCATATGACAACTGTGTGACATTTTTAAAAGATTCATACACATTCCTATTAAATATACTTTATGATAGTGAAACGTGACATGAAGGTACACAAATAAATTGATTTCCTGGCACCGTGTACCCTCATTTGATAATATATCTGATTTCTAACTAGCATTTCATTAATTTTTGTTATCACCATGCAACGAAAAATTTTCTTATGAATAATTATTTGTTTTTTCAAAGCATACATATTGTTTAGTAGTCAATAAATGGAGGAGATTACAATTTTTATGGCACCACGATCTGAGTGTGGTTTTTTTATAGATCTTAGTGCCAGCAAAACGGGAAAAATAATTAAAAAATTCCTACCTGGTTTAATAGCACATAAGGTTTTTAAAACGTTCTAAAAATGTGTTTAAGTCTTTAAACGCTCTGTCATGTTTGGAAATGCAAAATAGCGAAAAACGCTATATTTATTTTATAATAAATTACAAAATATACTTAGCATATAACCTGATGGTACAACCTAGCCTAAGGTGAGGGTCAGTATAGATGTATGCGCACATTGCTAGTCCAGTCTTAGTTCAGTCCTTTAGTTCTTTATCATAACCCACCAGTCCTCCACCTTCTGTCGATAAGTTTGATTCCGTGTGATTCCACATAGTTCTCCAATTTAAATGTTGGAACAATATAGGTCAGTTCCTTTTGGGTATATGGGGCTTATTATTTCGCCAGGAGCGCTTGTCATCACATAGGAAGCCAGCGTGTATTCTGTATATTTATATACATATAATGCACGCGCAGCAGGAAAATACAGATATACAAAATACACGCTTACCCCCTATATAATGGCGACCACTCTTAGCGGAAGAATAAGCCCTATGTTTCATCGCCACTAGCATTAAATTGTTTGGGACCTGGCAACGTCTTATAATTAGAAGGCGTTGGTGTAGTTTACTGGCCAGTATTCCGCAAACCACGCCAGCAGTAAGCAGACAACGTATGACGAAAAAGAGGCCTTTTTTCGTCAACAGGTGGTCAACAGTCAACAAACATGCAACATTTACTGCTGTCGGGGTTCGCGGAACACTCGCCAGTAATACAGTGGGTCGATGGACAGTGTGGCGAATAGGGTCAAGTGGTGCTGATTTGCTCTGCCATTTATAACTCTCCCACCACATGCAGTTCTACTACTTCTATACCTATATCCATGGTACAAGAAGACAAAACACCATTGAAATCACATTGAAATGTTGGATCTCGTCAAACAAGCTTGACATATAATTGGATATGCCGTTATACGGGCTCCTCGTCTGATTGGACGATTTAGGTAAACATGTGTACGGACCTACCTTGTATACCTGCACCATGCCTATATCGTTACTACAAAGTGATGGAACGGTATATCTATATTTCTGAAAAGTAGTGGAAGATGCTACAAATATTAGAGACAAACAGCACACCACGTCACTATTTAAGAAACCAAAAAATCAAACTGGATTTTTTCAGCAAGATCTGCACAAAGTTTTGGTACTTCCGTATAGTTTACTGTTGTTTCTTGCCAAATCATAAAACATTTATTTTTGTATAAAATAGATATGTTTATATTATTAAAGATAGGATGTAGGTTTAAAAAAATTTAAAATGAGGTTAATAACGGTTTTTCGCATTCTTAAACATGGCGCACTAGTAAAAAAAATCTCAAAAATCCCATTTTTGACTTTTTTTTCAACGCTATAGAAGAAAAAATTAAATTTTATGCAAGTAGAATAGAACCCGTTTCTTGGCGAACCCTTGCTTTGTTAACATGCTTTTTGGTTAAATCCTTTAAGAGAGCCAGCCTCTGCATACGATCTTCCCAGTTTTTCGTGTCTCTCATATCCACTTTATACCCGTTCTTTGGCTGGTTCAAAAGGTTTATTGGCAATGGATTGCTACCAAAATTTAGGGAGGCTGGGGTAACTTTTTTGGACGCATTTTCCATGGTGTTCAAAGCAAACGCTAACTCTTGAAGGTGGACATCCCGAAGTTGGTTGTCTTCTTCCAAGAAAGAACTCATCATTGGTCTGAGCGTTCTTATTACTTTCTTGGCGGGATTTGCTTACGCATGGTACAGTAGTATTGTCGTATGTTTTACACCTGAGTTGGTATACTTTTCTTTCATCTCCTTATTTATAAACTCAGTCCCATTATCCAAGAGTATGTATTTTGGAGCTTCACACCAGTTAAAAGTAGAATCCCAAAAAGCTTTCCTTACATTCTTGCCATCCAATTTGCAAAGAGGTCGCAATTCCACAATTTTCGTGAAGAGATACTGAAAAACTAGGACATATCGGTTTGCAGTCTTAGATGGTGGTTTTGGCCCGAGTATACAAGCGGCTACCACCATGCAGGGCTGTTGAATGTTCCTTTCCCCCATCAAACCTGCCAGAGCCTACTGCAAATCCTTATACCTCTGCCACTCCTGGCACGTCCTAACAAATCCTGCGACGTCATGGTAGCATCCCGGCCAATAGTGGTATATGATTAGTGGCGAATAGGTCTTGTTGACTCCTAAATGTGCTATCTGTGACTTTGCATGAGCTTTCTGTAGTGCTTTAATTCTTACTTCTTTTGGAAGGAGAATTTTTCATGTATTGAGATCTGGCATTACAGAGTCTATTAATGTATTCAGTTTATAATACCACAATTTACCTTCAGAGACCTTCCAATTGGGGAATTCGTCGGGAGTCTGTTTTACTGACTTCATACGCCTTTTGTCTCAAACATTTTCTGTAGGGGTAGCCGAGACAACCTTTCCAAATGCGGCTACTTGGCCTTCGTATACCTGCGACAAAGCCTCTGAAACTTGATGAATTTTTCCTTTTCTATAAATAAATTTTACATCATATGCCTGCAACGCAGTATTCCATTGGGCTAGCCTACCTACCGGATCCTTGAGTTTGCTTAACCATAATAGGCTACTGTCGTCAGTTATCACTGTAAAATTTTCCCCTCGCAAATAACCTCTAAGACGGTCTACTGACCAAAGTACTGCTAGACATTCTTTTTCCGTAACTATTTAATTTCACTCGGCTTTACTTAAGGTTCTGCTCACGTAGTAAATGTGATGTTCTTTTCCGTAAAATTCCTGAGTACGTACCCCTGCGACTGCGTAATCACTGGCATCAGTTCGTAACATGAACGGTTTTAAGAAGTTAGGCCTTGCAAGTACTGCGGCTTCAGTAAAGGTTTGTTTTAACTTCTCGAATACCTTTTCCTGATCAAGGGTCCATTCCCATTTGACATCTTTAGACATAAGCTTTGTTAGAAATGTTTCAAGATTAGCTAGTTCTTTAAAGAAACAAGTGCACTAACCAACCATACCAATAAACTGCTTCAGTTGTCTTAGGTTTGTTGGAGCTGGGTATTTAATGATTGGTTTCAGCTTACCTGGGTCGACCCGTAATCCATACTGATCGACTTTATACCTTAAATACTTTACCTCAGCACATCCAAACTCTGATTTTTCACGATTTATAACTAAGTTGGCTTCCTTAAGAGCGTTAAAGACAATCTCAAGCCATTTCTTATGTTCATGGAAGTTTTCCGTTACGATTATTATATTGTTTATGTACGGGTAGATAAAAGGCTCTTTTTTTGGTTGAATGATTTTGTCCATAATTGCTTGAAAAGTGGCAAGCCTATTTGTGAGGCCATAAGGCATCCGTATTTACTGATAGAGGCGTTGACCTGACACCGCGAAGGCTGTCAGCTTTTAACTGTCATCTTCCAACAGTATCGGGTGATAGGCTTTGCCAAGGTCTATCTTTGAAATCACTTTCGCCTTGCGAAACTTGTCAAGGATATCGTTTATCAGGCGCATCGGGTATGCATTACTTTTGGTGAACTGATTTAACTTCCTGTAGTCGATGCAAAATTGAAATTCTCTGTTAGCTTAAGGGGCTAGTAACGGGCAGCAGCAAAAAGTGCTTTCTGACTCCTCGATGATGTTTTCCTGTGTAAGTCTCTTGATCTCATCGTATGCTACCTACAACACCTTAGGTGCATATCTACGTGCCGTTTGTTTGATTAGTGCTTGACCTTTCACGTCTATTCGATGTTTGGCTACGGTCGTGACGTCTAACTTCTTAGGACATGATGGTATGTTTTCATCTAAGAGTTGAGTCAATTCATCTAATTCCTTAGAACACAAATGATGTTGTTCTTCAATCTCTGCTGCAGCTGAGAGACAAATATAGTCTCCTGCTATTAGATAGAATTTTTCCCGTGTAAAATGATCTTGACTATATGAGTCCGTGCTATAATCTATCTGAGTTTTGAATTGGTGTAAGAAGTCAATGCCCAAAATTGCTTGATATTTTAGACCATCTGCTAGTTCAAACTCAATCGAGACCTTTATACAATCTATTTTAAGGTTAATTATTAATGGTGCCTTGCAATGAAATGGGCATGCCATTTGCTACCGTAACTGTGGACTGGCATGGATCAAATTTCTCCACTCTTTTGGAAAAATTACTATCCAAATAACAATGGGCCGCTGTACTATGAATATACACAGATACCCTTTTCTTGCTATTATTTAAGTTGAAAAAATGCCTTGGTTTGCTGCTTAGGAATAATACTTCATCGGATAATCTTAAGAGTGAAATTTTAGTGTATAAATTACTTTCAACTTATCCTCTAACCACGTTCTCGAAAGTATTTCTGTCTCTATTACAATTTTCCATTTTTTCTTGTGCACTAGTTGTGTTCAATTGAAATATAACACGCCATCTATCTCTGCCAGTTATTTGCAGTAAGGGTGGACGAAGCACTTTCAACTTATCTGTTGGATGCAATGGATCTTTTGAATGGGACCATTTATTTATTGGACTGTTATAATAACGCCTTATGTAACATCTCCTGAGCCTATCTTTAATTTCTGTAGGAGGTCCAAGGTACACTAGGTTAATATTCTTGCAATATTTTCTCACATGTTCTTTGGGTAGT